CATGGAGGGGATTGTAACCATGGCAATGAGACGATAGAATGAATGTAAAACTAATGTTCTCCCATGTAAACTATCACATAATTCACAATAAAACAGTTAAGAAAAAAAAAAAAATCTTGTGACTAGCAGTGAAACGCTGTAGCACTAGAACATTGAATATTGAAACATGAAGAGCACCAGAATATTGTCAGATATATTGCCAGAAGACGAGTCCCTCAGTTGGAAGGCACTCAAAATACAACTTGGAAAGCACTACCTACTCAAAGTAGAGTTGACCATGATGAAGTGAATGGAGTAAAGCCTTTGAGACCTTTATTTGCTAATGGCGTACAACTCAAAATGAAGAGAAACAGCTGTAAGCATCCATTAATAATTGGAACATGGAATGTGCAAACTAACTTTCAGAAAAAAAAAAATAATAAGCCTATCCTTTTTTAATATTTCCATATTATTATTAATTCCATTTTGAGAATGAGAAAAGTGAGGTTCAGATTATGAAGCTTGTCCCCAAAACCCTTTGGTTGAACTGGATAGGCTTTAAAAAACAAAAAAACAACTATGAGCTGTTACACTGTGAGGGCACTGTAGGATCAGCACTGGACTGCTAACCGTAAGATCAGCAGTTCAAACCCACCAACAGCTCCTTGGAAACCCTACACAGGGTCACTGTGAGTTGGAATGGACTCCAAAGCACACAACAACAACAGCAACAATGTTGTAGTGAGATTATTTTAAGAGTTTAGCACAGCATTTGGCATATAATTCTCAATAAGTTATTTTCTCAAACTCAGTACTAGGGTCTGGAGTGCACAAGATTGACCCAGATATAGTCCCTTCCACCTTGGAAATTAGCATCTAGAGAAAAAAGCAAAATGTATATTTGGTGTTTTGTTTTTAATATAGTATAATTTACAGAGGGAGTGTGGTGGATAAGCACTGGAATGTGAACCACAAGGTCAGTAGTTGGAGCCCACCAGCGACTCCACAGAGAAATAAGATGGTTTCTGCTCCCGCAAAGATTTACAGCCTCGGAGAAGCTATGAGTTGAAACCGACTTCACGACACACAACACACCACTATCGTTGCAATTACAGGGGTTTATGGCAGCATATTTACCTAGGTTTGCTATGAGCCTGAACTGACCCAATGGCACTTAGCAACAAAAACAATAGCATTTACCTAGGATATGATTTCTGGGAAGCCTTCCTACTCCCAAGGAGTTTTAGCTAAGACTTCAAGGATGTACTCTTACTGGAATTACTGGGTACAGAGACTTAAAAGACGGGAAGTATCTTCCAGGATCTATCTATGATGTTGTTGTTAGGTGCCTTGGAGCTGGCTCCAATTCGTATCGACCCGACCCTGTGCACACAGAGGGAAACTCTGCCCAGCCCTGTGCCATCCTCACACTCATTGTTGTGTTTGAACCCACTGTTTCAGTCACTGTGTCAGTCAATCTTGTTGGGGAGTGGGTCTTCTCTCTCTCTTTCTTTTTTTTTTTTTTGCTGACCCTCTACTTTGCCAGTCATGATGTCCTTTTCCAGAGACTGGTCTTTACTGATAACATGTACATAATACATGATGTGAAGTCTTACCATCTTCAATTCTAAGGAAGTACATTCTGGCTGTACTTCTTCTAAGACAGATTGATTTGTTTTTCTGACACTCCATGGTACTTTTAATATTATTCTACAACACCATAACTCAGGTGCATCAACTCTTCTCCAGTCCTCCTGTCTTCAATGTTCAGCTTTCACATGCATACGAGTCAACTGAAAATACCATGACTTGGGTTAGGCACACCATAGTCCTCAAAGTGACATCTTTGTTCTTTTAGCCCTTTGAAGAAGTCTTTCGAAGCAGATTTCCCCAATGCAGTATGTCACCAAATTTATTGACTGCTGCTTCCACAAGCATTGATTGTGGGTCCAAGTAAACTGAAATCCTTGACAATTTCAATCTTTTTTCCACTTATCATGATTTTATTTATTGGTCCAGATGTGAGAATTTTTGTTTTATTTACATTGAGTTGTAATTCATACTGAAGGTTGTAT